GAAAACAAATTACAAAAAAATAGTTTAATCTAACAAAATAAACCATCACGTGATAAAAAAAATTTATTTTAAGTCTGGTACGATATGTCGAAATTTAAAATGTCGACCCTAAAAACACCGAAAAAAATGTTAGAAAATCAAGAATGTCGAGAAAAAATTGTCGACATATCGTACCAGACCCTTTTTTCAAACATTCAACTTTTTCGACATTCGACGTTTTGGATTTTTTCGATCTTTTCTTCATTTCAAAAGGATACGATTTCGACATTTTCCGTTTCTGTAAAACATTATTTCGATTTAAGAAATTATATTCAACAGTAAGTTTTTCATTAAAAACGGTCTCAAGCTCAATAAAAATTGTTGAATATAATTGTTATAAGGCCATAAAATAACAAAAACAGATTTAAAAAATTTTTAAATTTCGACATTTTTATTTTCGACTTATCGTACGGATCCCATATTTTAAAAATAGTTCTTGAAAAACCGCCTATTTTTTTTAACCATGTCGGCCGCTGTGGTGTAGGGGTAAGCAGTGCCCGCTTCCACTCCGCAACGCCTGGGTTCAAGCCCTGGTTAAAGCAACATCATAAAAAAAAAATATATACGTTTTTTTCTTAACAGCGGTCGTCCCTCGGCAGGCAATGGCAAACCTCCGGGTGTATTTCTGCCATGAAAAATAGGTTCTTATAAAAATACAATCGCCGTTCGGAGTCGACGTAAAACTGTAGGTCCCTCCGCTTTGTGTGCCAACTACTATGCAAATCAACTTCAAAAAGTTCAACTGTTAATAGCTAAGTTAGCTTTAGGACAATTATGACCATCCACCATAAAGTCTCCAACTTTATTGAATTTAACAACTATAGTTTATAATATACGTTTTCATTTCAAAGGCGTTGCGCAAAGGCAATCCAACCGAGTCGACCCATTAATAAACCGACTTGCAAGAGATTATCAGTATTGGTACGGCTCAAAGTCCACAAAAAAACTAAAACTAAATTATTGACTCTAAGTCCATAACAGAAGCTAATTGTCCTCGAAAAAAGTGCCAAACATTTGACCTCAATATACGTATATATTTATATATATGCATATATATATTTATTTATATTTTTGTAGTACACATACATATACATAATTATGTAGTATTTATGATTTCTGTTTGCAATAAGTGAATCGGTAGATTTTTTTTACGGTTCATCGAATGCAAAATTTGCCGCTCCTCTAGCTTTTGAGTTCGTTTTGTTTGTTATATTTAAAGCAGCATATTTGCCTTTGGGATGTGTTTGTCTGTTGCGCGTGTTGTTGCTGTATGTGGGAGCTGTGGTTTTGGGCTTCTATATGCTATATAATGTGGGTGGATTCATCACAATATCACCCGTGTTTATTTATACTCATATATCTTTTTTATCGCTTCAATATTAATTAAACATATATAACTGTGTATTAAGTGTTATAAGAGTGCAGCAGCGGCAACAGTTAAATTTCTATTTGTTGTTGTTGTCTTTTATGCAGTTGCTGGCACTGCACCACTA